GTAAGTGTATTCTCATTCTCATTATTTTTGTGATAAAACATTTGATTTGTGTCTTAGAAATGTAACAGGGACTAATTAGATAAAATCCTGCATAGCCTTCCAGTGTGATAGCCATTAAAACTTATTTTTCGAAGAATGTTTAATGACATGAGAAATGCTCATGTGATACTGCTGGATAAGTTAAAAAGGAGAGCTACAAGTATGTGCAGCATATGTTTGTATATATGCCGTGGAAAAGCTTGAAAAGTTGAATTCTTTCTAATTCTTCAATCAGAGTTGTCCAATATATTCCAGAAGGTGTTTTTGTTTTTTGTTTTTTGTTTTTATTTATTTAAGGAAAGCTCCTTAATTCATTTTACAAAAGGTAGCATTTATTTATTTTACTTAACTATCACAAAGTGCTTACTATGTGCCGGGCACTGCTGTAAAGCATTTTTTATATTAACTCAGTCTTCACAACAATCTTTTGAGGCTGTTTGTTAACAGAGGAGGAAAGTGAAGGAGAGAGATCTTGAGCAACTCGTCCAAGATCATAAAACTAGTATGCGTTTTAGCTGGGATTTAAACCAGACAATTTGGCTCCAGTGCCCGAGCTCTGTGCTTTGCTATCTTTAAACCAAAACCCAGTGAAGATGGCACCAAGATGGAAAACTACAGACCGATAATACTTTTAAATATATGCATGTAAAAGCCCTTATAAAATGTTAGCATATCAAATCTAGTAATGCACTAAAGGAAGAATGTACCATGACAAGTTTGAATTCTTTCAGGAATTCAAGAATGGCTCAATATTAGGAAATTTATCAGAATAGTCAATTACTTTTATAAATTGAAAGTTTTTTCAAAAAAACTTTGTGTAATAGGCCGGGCGCAGTGGCTCATGCCTGTAATCCTAGCACTCTGGGAGGCCGAGGTGGGCGGATTGTTTGAGCTCAGGAGTTTGAGACCAGCCTGAGCAAGAGCGAGACCCCCGTCTCTACTAAAAATAGAAAGAAATTAATCGGACAACTAAAAATATATAGAAAAAATTAGCTGGGCATGGTGGCGCATGCCTGTAGTCCCAGCTACTCGGGAGGCTGAGGCAGTAGGATCGCTTGAGCCCAGGAGTTTGAGGTTGCTGTGAGCTAGGCTAACGCCACGGCACTCACTCTAGCCCGGGCAACAGAGTGAGACTCTGTCTCAAAAAAAAAAAAAAAAAAAAAAACTTTGTATGATAGATACCAAAACACATTTAATTAAATTCAGCAGGTACTCTTAATAAAAATTTCAGATAAAACTAAAATAAGGTGATTTAATTACTGAAGATATAAATTATGTGTTAACATAAAGGCCATGTGTCTCTGAATTTCTCTTCTTAAAAAAAGGTAGCTAGATGAACATTAAAATAATCTTTTTACTTAAAACTTAGTCAAGGTTGTTTGCCAAAGTCAGCAACAAATAATATATTAAATGCTATGATAGTGTACTAAAACTTAAATATATATGTATATCTAAACCAAAGCTATTTTTAGTCTGTATGAGCAGTAACTCTTTAGAAATTGAAATGAAAAAAATTTCCATTCAAACTGGTAAAGAAAAATTGTATTTAAAGACCTGAGTATATTTCTCATGGAAGACATATTACAATTGAAATATTATTCCTTCCCAAATTAAAACTTAAAAGATGGAACACAGTTTCAACTCACAATGCCATTGTTGTTTGTTTATTAAAAAATAAAAAATTTCAGTACTACAAAAGATCAATAAATAAAATTCAAAGGCAGAGTATTAGGAGAGAAAATATTGTCAATTCACATCTTAAACAAAGGGTTACTATCCCCAACAATCAAAGAATTTCTACAGTTCAGTAAGAAAATTACAAATGCAATAGTTAAAAAGGGGCAAAGGCTATACCTAGGCCACATCATACACACTGCTTCAGAATTTTTTTTATTTTACTTCTATTCTTGGTTTTCCTGGCATCTCGTTGCTGGCACCCTGAGGCCAAAGCCCAGAGTCTCTGGTTCCTCTCTTGCTTTCTGAATTGTATGAAGCACAGCACTGCAAGGCCAAAGGTCTGACTTCTCCAGTGACTGCTAATGGGGTAAGGTAGTATTAATATAACTTTCCAGAAGGAGGGGGAAGCTAAACTCCCGTGGAGCTATGATCAAAATTCAAAGGAAGATGGGAGAGAGCTGGCAGATAAATTCCTGCTCCATCCCTCTTCCAGTGGACTCTTCCAAAACCTGGTGTTCAGTTTTATGTGTCCAGACACTTCCTGTATGCTAGAGAAACCAGGTGGGCTTTTTCATGAAACTTGGGCCACTTGGTGATGCGCCACCATCTTTCTCTGCTTCACTTTGCATTTCCCTCGCTTACACTGCTGATATTGCCCCTCCAGTTAAAGCATTAGACTGAGGCTTTGCCTCAGGCTCTGTTTTCTAGGGAGCCAAATTACAGCGGGATTTGAACAGAAAATTCATAGAACAGGAAATGAAAATGGCAAACAAACATAGAAAAGAGTTCTCCAGCTCATAAACAGGTAATGCACATAAACCACAATGAGACGTTATTTCTTTTTTGCACATCAGTTTGGCAAAAATTAAAAAGATGAAAAGCATTCAATGCTGATGTGATATGGGAAGCTATGCTGTCATGTGAAGGTCGGGGTGGATAGGAAGCAAATGGCTGTATACTTCCTGGAAAGTGATCTGGCAGTGTCTATTAAAACATTAAGTGTACTTATGTGAGCCAGCAATCTCTTCTGTGTATACATTAATTCATATGAATACATGTGCAAAGACCTTTCTTGCAATATTGTTGTAGTAAGTAAAAAATAGCAGACAAGTGGCAATATCTATCAAATTTTAAATGTCATACCCTCCGATCCAACAATTTTACTTTAGAAACTTTTATAGAAACACGGCTAGAGATATTTGAAGACAAAATATATATAATGTAATAAGGAAAACTGGAAACAAAATAAACATTTATCAATAAAAGAACATTACAGTACATCCTGTGCAGTCATTAAAAGGAACGAAGTCGATAAGTATGTTCTCATATGGAATGATATACATGATTTATAAAAAGAAAAAAAGCATTGCCAAGTAGTTGTAACATTTTGTTTTATTATATATAATATTATAATAATACTTTCCGTAATACGTCTGAGAAATGGAATCACAAGGGACTTTTTAATATTTATCCATCTTATATTCCTTAGAATAACATATTGTTTTTATGATTAAAAATAGGAAAACTGACAAAATCTCTCAAATTTTCTCTATGATTATATGTTTTTATTATCACAGGAATAACAAATGAACAAAAAATTAGGTTTGCCAATTCGGTGAACGGGTAATTTTATTTCGTATGTATGTATCAAATTCTAAATGCAAACGTGCATCAGATTGTCTTATTTTATACCTTCCCTTGTTCCAAAAGAAATTGAAGTGTCTTTTGCCCAAGCTAGGGAACTATATCAGTATATTCAAAATAACATGAACTATATGAACTCTAAACATTTGTCCAAATAACCATTGTCTTTAATAAATATATTTGTGTGTTGTGATGTTTGGGATCCTCTGAAGTGTGGGGCTCAGGGTCACAGTTGTCTCGCTTGGGGTTAAAGGTCAATAGGGAATTGAGGTTGAGACATGTGCGGGGTTTCCCTACCCACACTGTAAGCTCCTTATGGACAAGCTACTTTACCTTTTAAAAATTCCTCCACTCCATTCAGTTGTGTGAGTCTTAACTCTTCAGAAACGAGAGTGGATATAATGTCACTCCTTGAGGGAATAATGATATGAATTTTAAAGGTGACGGGTTGAACGTTGTTATTACTGAGAAAATTATGGTGAAGAAAATCCACGTGTAGAAAAGCTTCATAAAGGGGGCTGGGCCACAAAAGTGCATAACCAAAGGAACTTTGTTGCCGTGTCCATTCTCTACATCACCTCCGGCTTTACCTTTGTGTCAATTACCACACAAACAATAACATCATTATTTTCTTCTAGAAAATTTCACAAACTATATGAACTCAGTAAACACCCAGACAGCAAGTCAGGAGTTTCTGTGTCTGTCCTCTCACCCCCTTTTTTTTTTTTAAGTCATCAAAGAAAAATTCTGAATGTTTCCAAATGGTTTGAAAATATTCATTGTTTCATTTTTAGGCTCAGATGAAGGCATTCATTTCTTATACTTTGCAGCTTCCCTTATGTTTGACAATTTACTTTTTAAAGGTATATGGATATTTTGCATTTGAAAGAAGCTAAAGGACTCAAAACCTGGCTGGGTCCCGTAAACACTTGATTGGCTTCTACTGTCTATGTAGATGCTTAGGTGAAACCATACACACTCACCTTTTATGTATCCCCACGAAGAGTACAATGTGCTACATAGGAACTGATTTTTTCAGTAAATTTGACATCCAAACTGATCTCATCCGATTGGGAGGTGCCTTCTACATATGTGTTTGACCAATATTTCCTGATTACCTGCTGCTGTGCCAAGACACTGTGCAAGGTGCCCTGGGGATACAGGGAATGATTAAGGTGCAGCCATGAGCAACTTACAGTAAGTAAGTAACGGGAAATAAATTACCGATGTGAAAAACAAAATCTTTAAAACATCTAATTTATTTCTTTAGAAGAGAATTGCTCACAGGTGAGACCCTTGCAAATTTTCAGCTGTGGCACTCTTGAGAGAAAAATATTTTAAATCAAGTTCATTTACAAAGTTGACCAGTGTCAAGACTCTGAACTTGATCCAGTGTTCTTCTCATGCATACACACACACACAAAATGAAGAGTTATAAGGTAAAAATTATGATAATTGCATTGGATCATAATTATTATTGTCACTTTTAAAGAGGTACAAAAATGCTGAATTAATGGGTACAATATTAATGTCAGTTGAAGCTGTGATGATAATTTACTTTATACAATCTGGTTTCATCAAAACATAGTTATCCACTTAAAGAATTTCTTTTTGCTTAATATTTTTCTTTTCTTTCACAGGAGTTTCTTTTGTCAGAAGATTATAACAAGATGACTCCCGTGAAAAACTATCAAGGTAGGGAGTGAGAGGAGTGTTTTCATTATCTGGACTTTAAAATATTTCTTGATGATTTTCATTGCCACAAGAAAGTACTTACTTCACAATAGTCAGGGGAACAAAACAGAGCAACCCTTTTTTTGTTTGTTTTTTTTGAGACAGGGTCTTGCTCTGTTGCCCAAGCTAGAGTGCAGTGGTGTCATCATAGCTCACTGCAGCCTCAAACTCCTGGGCTCAACTCAGGCGATCCTCCTGCCCCAGCCTCTCAAGTAGCTGGGACTATAGGTGCATGCCACCACGCCTGGCTAATTTTTGTATATTTTGTAAAGATGGGGTCTGACTGTATTTCTCAGGCTGGTCTCAAACTCCTGAGCTCAAGCAGTCCTTCCACCTGGGCCTCCAAAGTGCTAGGATTACAGGTGTGAGCCATCAAGCTGGGCCCAGAGCAACCCTTTTAAGTGAATGTTGTTCCAGTTTTTGAATTAAGGAGCTGAGGCACAAATAGGTTGGGTAACTTGCCTGTGGTCCAGCCGCTGGTCAAATGCAGAGCCAGACTAGGTCGGCATGACTCCCAGACCCACTGCCTTTGTCTTCCAACTACACCATGCTGCTTCTTAGCAATGCAGCAGGCTCGGAAAGTGGGGCCAGTATAAAGCTGCCTTAAATGGGACTCATTTCATATTTGGTTAAATGTTTGAAAATGCTCAGAGTCTTCATACTGTCCACGGTAAAGAATTATGGTTTTATTGGGTCTTCAACATTGGCAGGTCATCTTCGTAATATAGCTCAGGAACAATTTTTGGAAGGGATTTCTTTATCCAGACCAACAATGTTGTGGAATCAGAACATTACAGGAGGACCTTTTAACACTTTGAGGTCATTTCATCCAGATCTCTTGACCTCATTTCATCCTGTGTGATCATCCAGCTGCTCCTTTAATATCTCCAGAGACATAGAAACCGTTCTGATTTCGGAAAATTCTAAGCATTGAGTATTGTGCTTTAAGTTTTGGAGCTGAAATTCATTTCTCTATTGTATTATATTATTGCTTAATTTTTCACACTCATCAAATATTAATTGAGTACCTACTGTATTCCAGTAACTAAGGATTGTAATAGTGAACAAGACATGTTTAGCGTCTGTCTATAAAGCAGTTTATCATCATGTGGAGAATCCTGACAGGTAAACTCCATTCAAATGTTGTGTGATAAGTGCTAGAATGTTCCCCTATTGGTCTTTGCCCAGCCAGTTGGAGCCGCAAAAACTGAGTACAATCTCTTTTACACATGGCAGCTTTTCAATTATTTTAAAACAGCCATGACAGTTCCTACTGTTGTCCTTCCCTCTCCTCCTTCAGTCTTCTTTTTTTATTAATACTTCTCTTTTCCAGCCTAAACATATCTACAACTCCTATTTTATTTGACCTGAGCCTTTGTTCTTTAAAAACATTTTTTTACATATACCCCATAAATATGTACAATTATTATGGATCAATTTTTAAAAAACATTTCTTAAAAAGTTTTTTTTAATTGTCTTGGTCACCCTAAACATATCTACAACTCCTATTTTATTTGACCTGAGCCTTTGTTCTTTAAAAACATTTTTTTACATATACCCCATAAATATGTACAATTATTATGGATCAACTTTTAAAAAACATTTCTTAAAAAGTTTTTTTTAATTGTCTTGGTCACAGATTTGGGATATCATATTGTACCTTTAGGACTATTTAAAATATGGCATGTTTTGGTAGGTAGCCTTTAAGATGGCTCCAAATGACAACACCTCCTGGTATTCACGCTCCTACCCTATAGTGTGTGCCAGACCTAGAATATGGCAAGTGATGGATATCACTTCCAAGATTAGGCCCAAAGAGACTGGGACTTCCATCTTACTTACCCTTTCTTGCTCTCTTGCTTGCTTTCCCTCATGGAAGCCAGTGCTATGTTGTGAGCTGTCCTATGGATAAGCCCATGTGCTGAGGAACACATACATTAGCCTAGGCCTATACAGGGTCAGGATCATCAATATCACTGTCCTCCACATTTACATCTTGTCCGACTGGAAGGTGTTTAGGACCAGTAACACAAATGGAGTTCTCATCTCCTGTGATAATGATGCCTTCTTCTGGGTACCTCCTGAAGGACCTGCCTGAGGCTTTTTCACAGTTAACTTTAAGAAAAAATAAGTAGAGGGAATACGCTCTAAATTAATGATAAAAAGTATGGTATAGTAAATACATAAATCAGTAACAGAGTCATTTATTATCATTATCGAGTATTATGTGCTATACATAGTCACATGTGCTAGACTTTTATACGGCTGACAGCATGGTGGGTTGGTTTACACCAGCATCACCACAAACACATGATAATGTGCTGCACTATGACGTCACTAGGCAATAGGAATTTTTCAGCTTCATTATAATGTTATGGGACTACCATCCTATATGTGGTCCATCATTGATCAAAACATCATTGTGTGAAGCATGATGGTATTCACACAAAAACTCATACCCAAATATGCATTGCAACGTTATTCATAATTGAGAAAAAAATGGAAATAACCTCAATGTTCATCAGTGAATGAATGGATGAGCAAAATGTGGTATATACATACAATGAATTATTTGGCTATAAAAAAGGACTGACGAACCAATACATGCTACAGTATGGATAACCCTTGAAAACTTATGCTTAGAGAAAGAAGCTGCACCCCAAAGGCCACATATTGCCTGATTACATTTATATGAAATGTCAGGAATAGGAGAATCCATAGAGAAAGAAAGTAGATTAGTGGTTTCCCAAGGATGGGATGTGGAGTTTCATTTAGGGTTGATAGAAATGTTCTGGAACTAGATAGCAGTGATGATTGCATGACATTGTGATTATACTAAAAACCAATGAATTATACACTCTAAAATGGTTAAAGTGGTAAAATTTATGTTATGTGAATTTTATCTCCATAAAATTTTTTAAAAAATCAATCCTAATAAAAACTAAAGGCATTACAAGAAAAGAAAACTACAGACCAATATCTCTCATGAAAATAGATGCAAAAATCCTCAAAAAAACTAGCAAATCAAATCCAACAATGTATAAAAAGAATTTTATAGCACGACCAAGTGGGATTTATTCCAGATATGCAAAGCTGGTTCAATATTAAAAAGTCAATGTAAATCCTAGCTCTCTGGGAGGCCAAGGCAGGTGGATTGTTTGAGCTCAGGAGTTCGAAACCAGCCTGAGCAAGAGCGAGACCCCGTCTCTACTAAAAATTAGAAAGAAATTAATT